TCTCGATCTTGAATGTAAACAGGGCAAACAAGAAACAGCTTTTCGGGACTTTCGAGAAAGGGGTCCCTGATAACGTTCGCGGACAAATATCGGAACATATTTTCGGGTCAAATAGAGGCTATTGTTTATATATCTAAATACAGACCTGAAGGCACAGGGAAGCGTCCCCTAGATCGCCGTATGTACGGAAACATATATTTCAGGAAACCAAGGACGAGAAGCAGTCCTACCAGGATCCCAGACACAGTCGCAATGGACACATACATGATGGTGGGGTCGGCACCTGGAGGAAAGGAGGGTGTTTTGCCTGGAAAACAGAGTAGTGGCATTGCGATGCAATCTCATTCATAACATGCGGTGCTTAGAACGTATAATCATATTATTCAGGAAATAAAGGAAACATCGTTTATAATGGAAAACTTCTTTCCCTTTTTCTATCGATCGAGTTATGTTACCACTATACCGCTAGCAATTAACACGAGACGCAGTGAGTCAGTGTTTCCATAGATGGTTCAAGGTCCCCTAAACGTCCACGAACGTTCCAAAACCTCGATAGAAACACAGAGAAAATGTCCTATTTCTTTCAGAGAACATCCCGAGAAACCTGGAGAAGGTAAAATCACGCTTTACTTTGATTATCAAAATGTCAATTCTCCCTTGATTATTATGCCAACATAATTTTTCATGGAGTTCTAGTAACACCGCTCATAATTCGAACAATCTCATAGAGTGTTTTTCCAATAAAAATTGCTTTCAGGTGAGTAATACATCACGCAACTTTGACATTTTTAGATAGTCAGTATACTCACTTGACGTCTTATTCGTAGATGCGTAGTCACTTACGTCAGCAATATAACATTGACAAGCAATAAGTTTCATTAAAGCGGTTTCAAAGAAGTTTTATTGAACATTCAATCGGGGATTTAGCAAATACCACTTAAGCAATTGAACTGCTACGATTTGTTGCTGATGTTGAACAATCTAATGTTTTAGTGCATTTTAATCCTAGAATATGGATATGTTTTACTGATGCTTCTTTTTAAATGGTTTAATAAGAATTTTTAGGTTGGCCTAATGATAACATTGTGGAATATGTCCACCTACTTGTACCAAAGGACGTAGTTACTGGACTTGGGGTTGAAGAGCTAGAATCTAAGCTGCCGCTTTCAGAGGCTGAAAAGAAAACGCAAAAATTGTTAATAGCCTTGAAACGTTTGAAATTCGTCTTTCGCTGATTTTACCTCTACCAGATGACACTGAACACTTTTTGGTCAACGTGCTGACACACTTTGCACACATACAACCAAGAGAATTAAAATATTTTCACTCAATGCGACTCTGTAGCCCGTCTAAGTCCATATCTTTTATAATTACACGTACATGCGATGTATTACTTCTCATAAAAGAAAGTAGATGATTGTTTATTGAGGGCCACAATGTCGTCCATAAAATGTCTGGCAACATCCAAAACAGTATCGACACAGATTTTTGACCCATTTATATATTGGGATTGGCACTGGTTGATCGAACTTAGCTGAATACCAGTTTAAAATGTCTTCCTAACAGAACAAATTTCATTATACCAGAGATAATAACTGTTTAACAGTACAGCCTTTAAAGTAGTGCTTATCTCACCTGTAGTTTGACTTAAGGTGGATGAGGTTGGTTTGCCTGTGTGGATGAGAACAGGGCAATTTAATCAGGACACAATAACGCAACAGAACACGACGTATGTTTGATTTAAATAATTACTGAATATTAATCTCACCTGTTGTGCTAGTCAAGGTGGACAAGGTGGATGACGTTGGTATGTCTGCGAGGATGAGAACAGGTCAATTTAATCAGGACACAATAACGCAACAGAATACGACGTATGTTTGATTTAAGTCAATAGTGAATATTAATCTCACCTGTTGTGCTAGTCAAGGTGGATGAGGTTGGTTTGCCTGAGTGGATGAGAACAGGACAATTTAATCAGGACACAACAACGTGACAGAAGATGATGTACATGTAATTCATTGCTTAGATCGTCAATGACTGGCATATTCGCGGGGGTTCAAACTGAGCGAATCAGTGGTCAAATTGTACCACAATTAAAGCAGTGATGAACTGAGTTGGTAGGTGTAGAGAAAATCAAGTATTCAGCACTGTCAAAGCTTAGCACGTACTATTTAGACAGTGCTCAGTTCGAACTCGTAATGCTGCTGG